GAGAGAGAGAGAGAGAGAGAGAGAGAAGTAATTATATGCGCAACGTCACTTTAAAATAAAAAGTAATTTGTCACTCACTGATACGGTTCGCAACAGCAAAGTTGTACATCGCTAACTATATACGAGTATGTTAAACTGTAACAATACAAAAATGTATCCGATTATTACACAGACTAATTATGCAAAATCGAAACTATTGTATTAAACATACTTTATATTTTATATTTAAAAAAATGGGTATTTATTAAAACAATTATATAGAATACTGAAAGTCTTCCTTTTAAATATGAACTCACAAAATTTTATACGTATGGTTTTGTCTCTAACACTTATTCGAATGCTCGTTGGAATCATTTGAATAAATAAAATAAAAGCACAGAACAGACGCTTTATTTTGCACAAGTATAGCAAATAACAAAAATGTAAGACACTTACCTTACGATTTCTCTGCCGTCGCCCGATGCCGCCCAGACCTGCTCCTCCTCTCAGATTTCCTTGTTACACTCGCACAACACCACACAACTCGCAAAAATCATCGATCGCGCGAAATTTCGGACACTCCCGTACGCGATGTAAAATACCGTGAAATGCAGTAAGCGACGTTCTTTACTTCCTGCCCGTTCGAATTGCAAAGAACGAATTACGCCGTGAACGCCGAAGTCGCACAAATTTCTCGCCCCGAAAATGGAACAGATTACACAAAATCGATAGATTAAAAGCGCGGTGCGTAAACGAGATGTAACCGCGACAAAGTACCACGGTTTACATTCATGTTTTAGATGAGTTGGTCTCGTGAAATATCTATATAACACGTTGATAAAGAGCCGTCGCTTCAACATGCAATTCGTTTCTCATTACAAGTTTTAGAATCTTAATAATTAATCGAAGTATCGTTACTTGTCACTGATAAAGGTGTACAAATCAATAGCGTTTTATCCCTACATTCTTCGCGATCGATCTTGGAAACCGGTAACGTAAAAATAATATCACGCACGGAACAACTCTCGCTGCTACCTGCCGGCTCGACGTTCGGCGAGCGAGTGATAAGTACGGAATTTTCCATCACGTAGATAGGCCAACGAATTCTCAACGTTTTTTTGTTGTTTTTCACTCGGCGCGGTGACGTATGATGTTTTTGCGTACCATTGTACCTGAAGGTCGCCGCGCAGTCAATCGCCGAACGTCGCGCGTCGAGTCGGCAAGCAGTGGCGCGAGTCGCTCCGTGCGTGATATTGTTTTTGCGTTGTCGGTTTCCAAGCTCGATCGTGAAGAATGTAAGGATAAAACGCTATTGATTTGGACTCCTTTATCAGTGACAAGTAACGCTACTGGATTAATTATTAAGTTTCTACAACTTGTAATGAGAAACGAATTGCGCGTTGAGGCGACGGCTCTTTATTAACGTGTACATGGATATTTTACGAGATTAACTCATCTAATATGAAAGTAAACCGTGGTACGTTGTCGCGATTACATCTCGTTTACGCACCGCGCTTTTAACTATCTATTGATTTCGTGTAATCTGTTCCATTTTCGGGAAGAGAGAGATATTTGTGCGACTTCGGCGTTCGCGCTGTAATTCGCTCTGTCGTTCTTCGTCGCTTACTGCATTTCACGGTATTTTACATCGCGTACGGGAGTGTCCGAAATTTCGCGGGATTGATTTTCGCGAGTGAATGTGTGAGTGTAAGTGCAACAAGAAAATCTGAGAGGAGGAGCAGGCTTAGACGGCATCGGGCAACGGCAGAGAAATCGTAAGGTAAGTGTCTTACATCTTTGTTATTTACTAATTGTGCAAAATAAAGCATCTGTTCTGTGCTTTTATTTTATTTATTCAAATGATTCGAACGTGGATTCGAATAAGTGTTAGAGACAAAACCATACGTATAAAATTTTGTGAGTTCATATTTAAAAGGAAGACTTTCAGTATTCTATATAATTGTTTTAATAAATACCCATTTTTTAAATATAAAATATAAAGTATGTTTAATATAATAGTTTCGATTTTGCATAATTAGTCTATAATAATCGGATACATTTTTTTGTATTGTTACAGTTTAACATATATAGTTAGCGATGTACAACTTTGCTGTTGCGAACCGTATCAGTGAGTGACAAATTACTTTTTATTTTAAATTGACGTTGCGCATACAATTACTTCTTCGCGTGTATACAAATTCTTAAAAATACATATACAATGTTCGACCACAAATTGCGCGCGCGAAGCGCGCGTTTTATCGTTTCTAGTTTAAAAAACATATATATTTAATGGCTTCTGCATTAAATATACACGGTAAACGATATCGCATCGGCAAAAAGAAACTCCCACCCCATTGTCATTGTCACCGTAGAAAGTTTAGTATAAACAACGATAGATTCAGAATGATTACAAATACTTTACGTATATTTTTAGCTTTCTCTTAAAAAATAATGATTTTCGTAGAGTGTACTAACTCGTGCTAACAATAAACTTATCAAGATATGTTTTATTTAAAGAAATAGATATGTAATATTTAATGGCTTCTGCATTACTTTCTACTTGATGAATTTTGTGAAAAGATGGCGGGGCTATGGATGTTGATGCCATGCCGGGAGCGAGCAACGTAGACAAAAGTGGAAACTCTCGAGACAACCTTAGAGTTAAATGTCTCGGTTCGCGCGCGAATGTAACGGCGTTTAATCAGGGTAAAGCGTGCGGCGAAAAGTCGACAACTTCCGGTATTTCGCCATGATTTACCTATCTCTTGAGCAATAAAAAAGCCTCGGTACCAGCTCCCGGTGTATGATGCATAGTGTTAATAACGTTTGTCATCTCTTTCTTACTCACCCCTCATTCCCTCTCGTCATTCTCGCTCCCGCGTTCGCCAAGCCTCCGCTTTTTCCTTCGTACCGTCCGCGTTTTCCCCGTTCCTTCGGTCTCGTTTCTTCACGGACGAAGAAACTCGTCTCTCGATTCAGGTTGGAGCACGTCCTGCGGGAAAAATACGTATGTATAAGTAGACACTCTAAACTGCCGAGAATTCATACTTAATCGTAAGATCGCTTCGTTGCGCTAATTGTACGAGATCTTAAAGTACATGGGTTCTAACTTTAGAAAGTTCCTCGGTCCTTTGCGTTTTCTTTTTCTTATTATTATTATCATCAATGCTCGAGGTTTTCTCTTCTAAACAATCCTCTCGACTTACAATTAAGCCGAAGCGCTGCATCTTTGCGCAATACCTGAATTATTTCGCGAAATAATTTTATGCACCTCTTTTATCTTAGATATTTTATCGAAAAGCTCGGAAGGAATATTTAAAATTGGATACCGTCTTCTCAATCATAATGAAATCGTAATGAAATTTATCATCGACAGTAGTAAAAGAAACGTCAATATCTAAAATGTTATTTCAGTTATTAAGTTATTTTCAATATCCATTTGTGCAAAAAGAGCCGAGATGAAAACAGGTCGATGAGATGAAAACGCAGGGATGTCTATCGGCTGTTTTAAAGAGAAGACCCATCGGCACGTCCGAGCGAAATCGAGAAAATCACGCAATCGCCACTAACACGCTTTTCTCATCGACGGGATATTTACAATTTCTCGTATTACCGAAAGCCAGTCCAGAAGGGCAACCGATAAATTAACGACGTATAATATCGCGCATTATGTCGCTATAAAGATAATTGCGGTCGACAATGCGAATGCAAGTATAATGAAATTTACACAAACCGGGGCAAACGGTATTAATGGTACAAATGATATTGTTACATTATCCGATACATGTTTAAGCGGAGCTCGTTCATGGCAAAATATCACAGTAACGTTATACACGCGCGCGTACAGTTATTGAGGGGGACCGTGTTACACGTTTCTAAAGACTGCCTACCATTGCGAACCGTTTAATCCGCCGAAATGAATAGCGTCGCGTTTAAAACATTACCGCGAGTAATGTAAATTAGGTCGCGCGACCCCCGTATTTTTCTTTTTCATCTCCGATAATTAATCGCGCGATTGATGACGCGTGTGGCTAATGCATCCGCGATGACCCGTCTTTCCGAAAAATCCCAACAACAGTTACGTCACGATAATTACTTCTTCTTCTTCCTCCTTTTATCTAGCTCTCTTTCTGCTACCTTGAGCGTTCGCGTAAGCGTAAAACATTTGTGTAATATACAAATTGTGTGGCTTTTGTGTACGAACCGACAGTGTTGCACTATTCGGACTAAATCAGAGAACAATATCATTGAAATTGAGTGTAGGAACTTAACACAAGAAGTTACCTAATCTACAACTTATTCGAGTGAGTAGATTTTTTGTTAGGCTTCTAAACTTAATTTCAATGATACCATGCTATTCTCTCATTTAGTCCGAATAGTGGAACACCGTCGGTTCGTACACAAAAGCCACATAATTTGTATATTACACAAATGTTTTCAAGAATTAACAGTTCCAGGAGCAAATGGTGCAGAATTATCCCTCAACGCCACGATAATTACATCTGCTACAATTGTTACATTTGGCGTCTCTTGCCAGCTTGACGCGTATCCCCGAGAAAGTCGCGAAACTGTCGCGACTCGCGCGCGTCCGTTTACGAAGAAATTTTCAAGCGTTTGCGAATATTCGCAGGTCGGAAGCGCGGGCGATTGAATTTACACGCGCTCGGACGATCGGCTGTACGATACGCAGTCACCTCGCGGGCGATGCAGCCGCTCAGACGCGTTGTGTATACACGCGAATCACAATGGAGGAGAGTCTGTTGATATCTCCGTGCGGTCCGGAGACGGCGACAACGCCGGCGACGCAGCCGCTAACAGACCTAAACAACGGCGGGTCCTTATCGCCTTCCCGTATATTCCCGTATTCCTGTCACCTATCTCGCTACCTGCGCTCGCCGCACGTTATGGAGAGGCGTCGTCGCCTTCGTCGCTTCGTACGCGCGCGCTTTGATGCACGCGCACCGAATCGCGGGCTCTGGATTCCTAATAAGAAACTTATCGGCAATTTATATCGACGTCTCGCGCGTCGCTGTCGCGTATTAAACGCGCCCCGTTTCGCCTCGCGACAATTGAACGTCTCGCGCGTCTCTCGCGCGCTTCGAGAAAATATCCCTCGACAATTGTAATTCGCATTCCAGAGTTTTCGCTCTTTGCGGGAAATTTCAGGGGCAGATTCTTCAACGTACCCAGGCCCGGTCTCACCAAACGTCGCTTCGCTTTAATCTTGGCCTAAAGTAACAGAAAGAGACAAAATATGGATTAAGTTGAGCTTATTAACGATAAGAGATGTTGAAATCAGGCCTTACCCTCCCGAGTAGAAGTGACCTCAGCGACGCCATGATTCGCACGTACCTCCCGCTCGATCTTTCCCCGCGCACCCGCGACGACACTTGGCGATATCGGCGCAATTTCGCGCGGCCCGTGTGCTGCAAATCGTTGTATAAGTAAAGTATAACGCGCGGAAATAAGACGGGCAATAAAACCGCGGCAACAAGCGCCGGAATTTACAAACTATACCGCTCTTTCCGCACCCCTGCTACTTTTACGCGCAAAATGTAACGGTCGCACTAGAATTACACGGTGGCGCCGTCGCTCGTCGTGGACGCCAACTACGTAGCCAATGTCCGCGTTTGGACTAAGCGGATAACGTCGAAATGTCGATAAAAACACGATCTATGTTCTCTGATAATGTCAAATAATTATTATTTTACTATATAATTTGATAACATTTTATTGAGGTCCGCGGTTCCACCAAACGTCGCTCAACTTTAATCTTGGTTTCATTCATGCTTGTCTCTTAATTTCTAAAGTAACAGTTGGAAAGAGACAGAGAACGAATTAAGCTGAGCTCAAAGTTACACAACGTTGGTGAATTAAATCGGACCTAAGAATATATTAAATGTAGAGTTTCCAAGTCAAAGTATATTTTATTAAGAGTAATGACACTACAGGATGTCGGTGAATGTTTGGGACTTATTTTTTGCGTAGATTATAGAGCGGACCAGACTGAGTCGTAAAGTCCTCTACCATCTCGCAATGTCTGCAATAGTTAACGAGTTATTAATTATAGAAAACTATCGTATACTGGAAAGGAGGCCGGGCTAAGATTATTTTATAATTAATAACTCGTTGGTCGATCAATATTATTGTATAGTAACTGTTTTTATTGACATTTCGAGCACGTAGCACGGAACACAACCAAAAACGTGCAAAACTGCGTTATCCGCTTAGCCCGAACGTGGAATTGATTACGTAGTTCATGTCCGCGTTTTCAATGCCCACAGAGGGCGTACACGCGTACGAGAATCACGTAAAACGTGACCGTAGGTGCGTGACGAATTTTGATTCTGGTAAACACGATATGACCCGATGATTGTATACGACGGAGATTGTCATCCAAGTTTTGCGAGGTAATATTGAAAGAGAAGTCTCTTCTTCACCGTTTGTGAGGATTTTCTGTCAAGTGTTCCATTTCAAGACTCGCGAGTTATGGCTGGTACCATGAGACAGTTGGAGGAGCGTCAGCTCCCCGCAGAGGTGACGACGATGCTGTGGTCACCGAAAATGGATCTTTTAGCAGTTAGCAATGTCAAAGGTTAGATTTGCAAGCCGACGCTGTAAAGATAAATCATCAGTTAAAATTAATATCTTCTTTTTTCCAATGAGAGAAAAGCACATTAAGCACTTCGTTTCAACTTTAACAGTCTATCCAGACAAACTTGCATAGGTGCATAAGCACATACACAGATAGCATACAGGTCTAAAAATGTCATAAAGATATCCTTAAGACACCTTTTAGACATGCATGTTATCTGGATGCATAAAGAAATTGGTTTATTTCCTTGTGCATGAACTTGTGGCCCAATCGGATCCCTCGTGCATACGTTTGTCTGGATAGACCCTAATGGGTGTTTAACAGGTAAACGTTGAGGATTTTAAAAACCGCAATGTGAATTCTTACAGGCGAAGTTGTCCTGCACAGGCTGACGTGGCAGAGAGTATGGTTGTTGAGCCCTCAAGACGAGTCCGACACCACTGCCCATCTGGCGTGGAGACCAGATGGAAAGCTGCTTGCGGTGTGCTACGAGACCTCCAAGCTATTGTGCCTGGTTGATGTCGAGACTAAAAATGTCATTCATAAAACCAAATTGCCTGCAAACGAATTGACCGTTTGCGTCAAGTGGTTGTCACTGTCCAGTGCAGAACACGAAAGTTCACTGGCAAACGACAAGACCAATAAACCTACGGGCGAATATCTGCCATCTCTGCCTAGCTTAATCAGAAGTTACAGCGCGGAGCCTGAGCGAAAGGAATTTTTATCTCATATCCTAGACATGCTCTTTGTAAGCGTCATGGAGTACAATCCTGATAAACGCATAGCACCTGTGACTATGTGACTTACAGTCATGTCTTTCTTACAGATCGGTCTAAGAGATGGCACGGTGTTAATGTACATTTTCGGCATGTTTTATTGTGGCGCTATAACTGTAGGCCACGGGCCAATCTTGCAGATCACGGGTGGATCTAACAGCCCAATATGGATTACATGGAAAGATGATAATTGCGTTAAGACAACTAGAGTATTTTGTCCATTATTTGACAGAAGCACAGCGTTTCTCAAGGTATCTCGAGAATGACAACACATATTGCTATTGAATTCGTAACGAAGTTGTCAAGCGAAAGGCATTGTTTCCCGAAGCGCTGTACACAATAGCTGAAAAATTGTCAGGAAAGATCGAGTCAATTGGAATTGATAAATTTAGTTTTTAGGTCGCGCAAACTCAAGCCAATATAGAATGCTTGAAAGATTATCTCTCGCGTACCTTAATGGCCACTTGCGAAGCCTGGGAAACGATACTCTTGGAAATGGATGAAAAACTCACGCGGTATGCAGAGGCAAATCCACCTGGTATTATGTCAGCGGACTTTTTAGAACTGCTGATGATCGGAGTACCCACGAAAAATTTGGAAACTTTTCTACTTCGAGATCTCACAGAGAAAGGATTAAAAAAATTCGGACAGAGTATTGAAATGTGTTACAGTAATATACAGGTAATTGGTTTTTTTTTTATTTCATCGTGCACATTGCTCAAGTTTAGAATGTTAAAGGGATTATTTTCGTAGAAACTAGTCTCGAAAAATTTAACTAGCGTCGGTATGGCCTTAGTTTATCAATTAGCTGAATTAAGAGGTATGGTGAGAGTAGGTGGCACATATGAGGCGTTGGGATTACGCGATGAAACACTCATAACTAATGCCATTAACGAGTCTGAGGCTTTCCTGGCGAAATCGTACGAGATCGAGCAAGTTATAGATCAGAGTATGCGCAATTACAAAGCATTTTTCCGGTACGAGTCAAACATTGAATTGATTAATTAGCTCCAACTGTTGTTTAGATTTAATCTTTTTAATTTCTTATTCTATCTGGCAGGTGGTTATACGTAGCCATTCTCCAACTAATGGATGAAAGAGCACCATCGGAGGTGTGCCGTGTAAGTCAGCAGGAATTAACGTTTATCGCTGAATTTCTGAGTGATTTTGACAAGCCGAGAATAAACGGCAGGGTAAATTTAGAAAAATTGGGTCAATATTTGCGTCGTGAAAACCTGCAGGCTCCTCTAACTTCCGAAGGAAGCGAATGGGCTGCTATGCTCGACACGAACGATTGCTTGCGCAATTATGCCCATATAGTGAAGCAGGATTTTAATTTATCTTTGCTACAGTCTCATGTAAAATTAGTCGCTGCTTTAGAAAATGTTTTCGGCGGAGCTTATCAGAGCTTAGTTGATCACTTCGTAATGATCTCCATCTCTTTACCATCATTCACATCTCTCATGTCCTCGCAAATTGTAATAAAGGATGGGAATCTTTTATTAGCTATGAGCGATACTGACAGCAAATTTTTAAGACTTTTTAACATAAAGTACTCGTACTCGTACTCGGCCGCAGAAACTGTACCTCTTAGTTCAAAGGTGATTACGATAGACGTGAGTCACAAGCAAGGTTGGTAGCATGTATTGCCTACAATTATATATTGAGACTTTATTTCTTCATTATATTATAAAAGATAATAATCTTTTCTGTGTATTTTTAGGAGAATATCCAAAAGAAAATATCGATACTGTGATAGTAGATCTCCAATTTTACTCTCAAGATTATCTCAGCTTGCTTATGCTAAATAAACAAACTCAGGCATCGTTTCTCGTACAAATGCCATTACATGGCATATCGTTGCTCGAGTATGGAGACAATGATGCGATAGTACCAATAACCGATTTTATCGGTGGAACATTGCCGAAACCGTTTCAAGGAATATCTGCGAGACGACTAGCAGTCAGTGGCCCTCGGAAAGTAGCTGCTATTTTGAGTGAAAATAATAGAAAGATTCGTTTACTCGAGACTGAAGCGGAACCCGAGGATGAAGAAGACGAGGAGGAGGAGGAAGGGCGTTTTGTGGAAAATATGATGGATACCACACCTAGTGTAAATTTTCCTGCGGAGACAACAAAAACTGACGTACAAGAGTTTTATAAGGAAGAAAGCAGCTGAGGTAGAAGCAGAGTACATTGAAGGTATGAATAATTTATATATGCAGAAAGAGATATGATTGCAAATAATAACTTTTTGTGTAATTAACAAATCTTGACGTATTTCTCAAAATTGATTTTAAACTCATTTATTTTGAAAAATCTAGAGGTATTACAAGATATATATTTCTAAAATACATTCAAATTAACTAAACGTTATTAGCACAACAAGAGAGAGAAAACGAGTATAATCTGTTGCAAAATACACATTTAAAGATGAAGAAAAAGACTAAAACGTAATAATGTTAAATTTCCTGTTGTACACAATACAATTTATGGCATTGCTTGTTCCTTCTGCATTTGTTTAAATACTTTAGGGAAATCGATGTCAAGAACAGCATTATCCAGCCCAACGTTCTCAATGCCTGAAGAAACACCAGGGGTATTATCTGGCGTGTATCGTGCTGGAGAATTATCTCTAGACTCCTCCAGATCTGTAAAGATGATTGAAAGATTAAGCTATCAAGATGAAAGTGCATCTTCTTCCCATATCAATTTCTATAAAAAAAATTACCAAAGAATCTTTTACTCCTTTTTCTCTTAACAGTAATAATTAGAAGAACGACAGCTACAGCAACCACCAGTACCATGACAGCAGTCATTCCCCGTAACAGGTTTGTCTATTCAAATACACATTTTAATAAAGTGTAAAATTGTAATTGTTTTTTTACATGTTATGTATTGAGATACCTCAAAATCATTTTCCCAAAGTTGCTCCCAATCGTTTGTAACAATCAATTCCACAGAATGAACTTTTAATTGAGAATCATCAAATAGGCCTTTTGAGAAACATTTATAAAATCCAGATTCTGCTGTTGAAACACCCTACAAAAATTATAAATATAATTATGAAATATAACACCTCTTGTTATATATTGGCTACATAAATGAATGAACTTGTTGAAAAAAAGATAAGTTTTAAGTATGTCGTACATGAAAAACTTACTCTGATTTGAAGCAAGCCAGTCAATACTTCATAATTATATTTCTTCTCATTTAAAGGATTTCCTGGACCAATAACGTTGTTGGTTCCAAATTGCCAAAACATGAAACGATGATGTTCATCAATGCTTAAACATGGAAGCTCAGCCAAGTGTCCAGCATTCACTTCTTTCACTGTTATTAAGTCATTCGCAGTTTCGGATTTTTGTAATATAAATGATGAATAAAAAAGTATAAAAAGCCACATTGTCACCTAAAAATTAATCTTATAAATATTTCTATAATTCTATAGGTTATTTCACAGTTGGATTGGAGAAAGGAAGCAAATTAAAAGATACATGTTCTCTTTTGTGTGTTAAATTAAATATGTGTGTAAAAAATGAGAATATACCCAAGAAAATGCTACACTTTTACAGAAATGTGTTCAATTGCTATGCTCTGCCGCAACCAATGTTGGTAAACTGTTAGATATTACTAGCTTGTCTTCTTTCATAATTACATTCTAATTACATTGATCACCTTTTTTTTCACAGCTGCTACAAAACCAGTTTGTTGTTCACTGATGAATGTCACAATAATTATACAATACAGATACAAAGGAAGAGGCTCTTATGAGTGAACGTTGTGTAATCATCAAAGCAATTCTCTCTTCCTTTCTCTTGCATGCAGTTATTGACTTGCTTCTATTTTTTACTACTAAACTGAATTCACTGACAATAGCACTGGTATGAATTAACAAAAACTTTAACTTGGAAAATACACTTTCATTTACTGATGCGAAGATTCCTACAAGCACTGCCACCAAGTTACTTATTTTTAACTCTGTCCTATTTGGCCTTGTGCAATACCAAGTATTTATAGTAGACTGCAGCTATACTTTGTAATTGCTGTATGTTCTTAGATCCTGTTACAAATCAATACACTCTTGCGGGAAAAACCCAGTCATACGTTTGAATGAATGAGTGAATGAACGAGTGAATAAAAATTTTATGTTTTTATTTTTTTAAACGGTCAATATATAAACTTTTATGTATATACATGTGTATAAAATGCAGACATAATTCTTCATTATTCAATAACAAGAATATTAGAATAGTTTATAAAAATAACAAGTATATTAATATCAATTGTATATTTGATTATGTACAGCAAGTAACATCCACAAGATAATTTAACACAATACATACGCGCCCTTAAGTAACTTGGAACAAGCCGAAATTCATCCATCGTCAATATCTAGTTTGGTATATCAAGTGGATAAACACATCGACGGCTAACACTGGAAGAAGCAGCCAGAACGGTGCCAGTACCGCTTTGGCTGGTAGAGACCAGTGAGGGACCTCCAGTTTCAGGCAAATCAAGATCTGAGCGCATAATTTTAAGATCACAGCTATCATGTACCATGCCTGAAACAATTTTATCCACACGCCGTATGTTAAAATCTCATTTAATTCAGTTGGAGATTTGTTATATCGCTTAAGATAGTGCAATTTTTCACGTTTTCTTATTTGTACTAGGTATTCAATACTTGTAGACGAATGCGTAAGCAGAAATTGGAGTAAAACGTATTGAATTGCGGGAGGAAAGTGTTGCCAAGCTTGAAAGTACTCACTTCCCGCTGCAAGCTGTTGACACGTCCGTTCTTGCAGTGCGAAATCATGTTGAAAACAATGTAAATGAGAAGAATGTTATCGTACAGCCACATTGGGATGAAAACTATGAACCAGTTCCATTGTATTCTCTGGTCGAGCCTCAGGACCAACAGGATGAGGAATATGAGCAAATTGAACCAAGTGAACAAGGCGCGATGTAAAACCGCCATGGAAGGCTTTCGTTTAATTTAATAATTCACTATTTCATGGAGCTCGCGTTTTCGGGCATCGACTTTTCCACGATTCTAACCTTCTGCAGCGACAAACATGCCGCGATATCCTGTTTTATGGACACAGCATTATCGACAGATTTATTTATTGCGTTTAATGCCTCCTGACTCCAGAGGGAGCCAACACGATTATCGACAGATGTCATCAGTCGTTCCGAAACATGGTAAGATGGCGCTGCAGGTTCAATTTTTTTTCCACTCAACCAAGATACCAAAAATGAATGGAAATAGCTAATAATTCTGTCGCTTGCACTAGTGCGCACTAAGTGCACAATGAGGCTTGTTTGCAGTCAATTTTTATTTAAGGATCGTCTTAAATATCTCTTGGCATATTTCTTAGCCAGTGAAACCATCTGTACAGCATCCACGCGGATTATTTTTTTGGCTGCGACACAGGTCTCTGAATTTTTGAAAACTGCCAGAGCTTGTTCTCTAGCGAGCCGCTTATCTGCGACCAATAGAATTGTTCGGATTGTGGGAGGAGACGTCAGTAACGTCGCTGTCATATCATCAAACGACAGTCGCGTATCTCGCAAACACGATGCGTCGTGCAGGTTTCCTGAGCGAGAAAAAGAAAGCGAGGAAGCGGGGAAAACAAATGCAAAAAGGATGCGACGAAGGAAAAGTGGGGAAACGGAGAAGAAAATAAAAGGCGAAAAAAAGAGAGGTGTATTCGCGTGATACATTGTGTCCACAATTGTTGGCGCATTGTCGTATTGTTGTAAAATAATTATTAAAATCTGTGCGCGTCGTAGAAGGTAAAGCAATGAAATTCGGCGTTGCTTAAACTGACTGCGGGCTTTGTCTCTTTTGCGTAAAAAAAAATGGGAAAGGTGGGCAGAAAAATGGCAGTTACATCACTGCCAGTGGTAAACTTTGGTGCGATTTATTTCCCAAGTAGTACACTCGAGGGATACGCCGATCTCTCATTCCTCGCTCGTCTCTCTCGCGAGCAGGTCTGCTTGATTGATCACTAATCGAGTAACGTACGTGCATATCGTCGGAAATTTGTGTGTACGCGCGCGCCCTTCGATGAAAGTGCAACAGAAAATATGAGCTCGATCGATTATTCTCAAGTACGTATAACTTTTACCGGCGGAATAAACGTCTTACGTCCTTGTGTGTACCTTTACTTAACAAATTCTCACTTTTTGCTCATATTTCCAATAATTATATCATAGAATTGGAGCCTTAAATAATCACAAGCGATCACTTAGTTTAAAAGTGCGGTTGGACAACCTGTACATCTCATCGGTGCTTTATACATAGACGTTGCCACTTAATCGACATTGAGTCTCAAGGCGCCTCGAGATGTTCACGTGAGCATAATTGCGTCTTGAAGCTTAATGTATTGTGCATTGTCGGCGACATGATGGAAAACGAAGCTTGCTATTAGTAGCAGAACCAGTTTTTACATAATTACATAACGTTTGAAAAAAAAAAGAACGTTATAGGTTGCTCGTACCGTAATATATGTATGTTAAGAACTCATTAATTTGCATTTTACGTACGACAGTCGCATCCATATTATTATCAATATCCGCGAGCCGTGGTATCGTATTGATTATTTAAGTTGAACTGGATTTGTGATTATCGCATGTATTGAGCTTTGGAGAGAGAAAATGGAGGGAAAAAACCGCGCTGACGAAATTGTCGTACACCAATGCCTGCTAATGCCCAAAGTGCCCCAAAAATTGCTAGTATGTATGTACACCACAGTTCCCTCAGCGGTTTCCCCCTCGGAGAAAATAGAAAGGTCATCTTTTTTACCGACACATTCGAATGTACAGGTAGTTTTTATGAAACTGCATCGACAGCACTTTGTTAACGCAAATAAAATTATTAAGTTTTTGATACGTGGAAAGAAATGTCGGATTAGCGACGACGAATGGCTGTAGTTAGAAATGTTGTAAGCTGTCGATTGAATACATTACAGTTTCTAGCCGAAATTTCGTCAAAGTTGCTCGACTAAACGGATCTAATCGCGAGGATAGATTCGTTCGTTTTCTCTGCATTTTCTGTATTTGAAAGATAAATATTGAAGCAAATATTTTTAAGAAAAAGAGAAAAGAAAACCGTGGAACATATACGCGGGCACAAAATAATAATCAAGAGTCGCGTTTGCGTATTTTTTTTTCATATCTTCCTCGCTGATTATGCGAAACTGGTGGTAAACAGATGCACCAGATATATGCCCGTCTCCGCAATCTCTTGCAAATCACGTGCAAATCGGCCGACGACAAAAAGGCACGTTAGGAACGCCGTGCGCCTACGGCTTGACGTTAATTTTGCCGCGGGTAATGCGGCTATAAATACGCGCGCCTAATGGTCCTATTCCGAAAACGCGAGAAGCTACGAGTCTATTTTAACGGATTAGGGCAAGTTCCGGAGACGGAGCGGCGCTCGTTCCTACATTGCGGAATTTACAGACGTCGGCGGGCACGACGAGGGCAAAAGTCGATCCGCGGTGTCCGCATTGCGATCTCGATCGCGATCGTGTGAGATCGCGTCAGATCGCACCAGCTCGTCCCTTCGGCTTCCAGCGCGCGGCGTTGCCCTTTAACCTCTCAAGCTCCACGTGCACCGATAACGATGTCGAACGTACGAGCGTTGGTAAGGCCGCCTCTCGATCGAAACAGTCTCACGTACGATTGTACAATATCGCGTATCATTATCGTTACGTGATGTGCCGCCGACGATGATTTGTTCTTTGTAAAGTAGGCGCGGTGTACTCTTTTTTTTTTTTAACGATGACTTGTAATTAGCCAGGAAACTCGCGAATTGTAGAAATATATTTCCCCGAGGTATCTCTTATCAATTTCTGTGTGGCTCAATCCGCAATGATGCGGTGACTTTTGTGCGAATATCAATTTTTATTTAGGTCTCGCGTCGCTGAAGCTCGATCAGCCAAATTCCTCGAAATTGGCCAGCATCGTGCGCTTACGTAATATTTGGAAAAATGTTCAAAGTACACGTTCGCACCTCAAAGGAAAGGTGGAATTTCATAAAGAGCCAAATTATATTTTCAGGTGCTCCCTTCAGTTTACGCCGCGGTGGGAACGATCGTTGTTATTGGAGTAGCGTTGAAAGTATACAAGACCTGGAGCGAGAAGAAGAAAAAATGTGCGCCGATACTGCTGGTGGATCCGGTGGTCAAGTATAGTCTACCTCTAATTCAAAAAGACGTAATAAGTCACGATACTAGGAGGTTCAGATTTGGATTACCAACGTCAAACCATGCCCTGGGTCTGCCAGTTGGTCAGCACATACATTTAACAGCGAGGGTCGGAGAGGAGGTCGCGATACGTTCATACACGCCTGTTTCGAGCGACGATGATCGAGGCTACGTTGATCTCGTCATCAAGGTAAGTAAAATAGTAAAATAGGATTGGTGCGATAATGAGAGAAAACTTGCTTTAAACCTGCGTGATTTATAGGTGTACTTCAAAAATGTGCATCCAAAGTTTCCCGAAGGCGGTAAAATGTCTCAATATTTGGAAAACATGAAAATAGGGGACACTATTGACTTTAGAGGTCCATCTGGTAGACTAGTTTACAAAGGACAGGGAAACGTTTCTATAAAACTTCTTAGGAAGGAACCACCTGTGGTTTATAATGTTAAGAAGGCAAGTACACTTGCTGCACTGTGTATATTTAGAGGAAAGTCTCCCGTTATGAGATAACCGGGTTTCTGTTAAATTAACAGGCATCGTCAGTTGATTCCACCATAATTTATTGTCCTTTGAGCGAAATCTGTTTAGTGGAAAATTCATTGATTGTGTAATCGTTGCGAAAAAAGATTTGTGATTGAATTTGGCTGTTGGAAACCTGCTATCTCGTAATAGAGGACTTTATACATTGGATATAATGATTTTAGTAATTCAAAGTTCTTGTTATATCTTGTTATTAAAAACAACTGTATTTTTGACATACGAAAATAACGAAGGAACTCTCTGTACAGATGGTTATGCTCGCTGGTGGTACGGGCATCACGCCGATGCTGCAGCTGATTCGTGCGATAATAAAGGACCCTACGGACGAAACTCAAACCTCCTTGCTGTACGCCAATCAGACGGAGAAAGACATCTTGCTGCGAGAGGAATTGGACGAAATCGCCAAAAAATACCCCAACAAATTAAAACTTTGGTACACTCTAGATTCAAGTAGCGAGGGATGGCCGTATAGTACAGGATATATTAGTGCTGAGATGATAGGGAAACATATGTTTCCACCGTCGCCCGATACTATTGTATTGATGTGTGGGCCACCTCCAATGATCAATTTTGCTTGTACTCCGAATCTCGATAAAGTTGGCTACGATACTAAATTACGGTTCGCATATTAATCTACTTGTCATTAAAATCATAGGCAGTTTGCATCTGACGGAGATCCACACGCTTTTAGTACTTTAATCAATTCAAAGTTCAGTTTTCTAACTAAATGTATCCGCTTTGCATTAATGGGAAATGCCAAATAACGTGGTGAGATCTATATTGGGAAGTTTCTGTCAAAACTAATTGATTATAAAGACACCTTCAACAGTATTGACGGTAACAGTTATGAAATTATAATAATCAATGAAATATGCAATTAAGCTGGTAGCATATAGTGACTATTGTTCCATGTAGCGTAAGGATGTCTATCCATAAAAAATCTTTACAAGACACGCCAAAGTCTTGTCCTTTTTTCGCTTAATTTTTTAAATTGGGACACGGGCTGTGACTGGCGAATGACAAATAATTCATAGAGCTTAATTTAAGACAAAAATGCAGTTACGAATCAAATGCATGTGAAATGAATATTTACCTTACCACTAAAATATACTTTATTCAATTCTATATTTGTATATTATAAAATTACCTGTGTACAAGTTAGATGAATAAAGTGTATCACTAGTGTGTGTATGTGTGTGTGTGTGTGTGCGCGCGCGCATGTGTGTAAGGTATTCATATAAAGTATTGTATCGTAAAGCATTTATTAATGTTGAACCCATTGTAATATTATAAAAAAATTTAAACACGTAGAGATGTGCTTCTTATATTGTATAATACTTTATTTATAAGACATGGAGAAATAGAATATATATTTTATATATAAATGGAGTGGGGATAACGCGTGGCTTCATGTAAACGCGGATAATGATTCGATCCCTCATCTTGCGTATATTTCTTGAAAAGAGGGATAACATTTTCTGTGTTTTAAAAGAATTAATCTCTGACTTTAACAGAAAAGAACTTGTAGAGTTAAATTCTACTCTAAAGAGTGAAGTAAAATCTAGATAAATGTGATAATATAGAACTTGAGTCGGATGCATCCTAAACAAACAAAAAAAGACAATGTTGAAAAGAAGCGTAATACATGTATTGTTCTTACTATAATTAGTACATTAATATTATCAAATGCATTATCGTAGATGACAAACGCAATGAAATATTCAATTATTAATTAAACATGTTAATTTAAGAGGTCGCATGTTTTGTATGAAAACTTGCAAGTAATTGTGAAATTGAAGCAAAAGTAAAAATTTCTCTTTTTTCTCAATGAGTTAACAATGTCCTCGATCTTGCACGCGTTTTCTAGGAGCTGCGCGCAAAATATCGTCCACCCGAAGTATCATTTCCGCCGCTTCAGCCGCACTCACAAGAACCTGTCTCTTCACCACCCAAGATTCGGTGATTCCTAGCCGCTTCATACAACCGACTTTGCCCATTTCCATATCTGAAAGGTTAGAACAAATTTATTGCTATTCCATTATGGAAACCATTTAACGATCTCATGTATTTAAAAAACATTTTTACCGATAAAACAGCGCAAAAATAAAAAACTCACCCAATCCTATGGTGTTGCCGCCGGAATTATGCGCAGCTCTTAATTCGCTGACCAACTGCGCCGAGTCATAGCCAGCATTGTCGGCGATAATAGTTGGCAATTGATGCAACGCTCGCGCGAAGGCCTCCATCGCAACCGCCTCTTTACCCGGCGTAGCCGCGGCCGCCCGCATAACGGCGCAAGCCATGATCATTTCGCTGCATCCACCACCGTAAACGATTCTCGACTCGCGTACCGTAGCGGTCAAAACGCAGAGCGCGTCGTGCAGCGATCTCTCGGCTTCGTCGATGATCTGCTGCGTTGCGCCACGAATGACGACGGTGCACGCTTCGCCCAGCGGAACTCCGGAGAATCTCAGGAGTGTATCTTCTCCTATCATGACCTGAAACAACACGATTCCATTAAAGCTGTAATGAAACTAATTATTACGCACAGTGGAACATTCGGTATGCAAAATGTTACCTGTTCGATAAGATCGCATTTTCCCAGCTTGACTAAATCTGGATTGTCAAAAGTACTAACGATCTCGCCACCGGTAACGAGCGCAAGTCTCTCGATACCGTCGAAATCGGCGTGCTCGATAGCCATAATTCCGGCATCGGCGAACAATTGCTCCGGATAATTATATATCAATTGCCTATTGATGAAGACGGTGCATCCATGCTTCAAGATTTTATCAACTTTATCCTGTGGAGATTCAGAAAATTATACACCGAGTATGAATTTATGATTTACGTAACAGACTTTTCGAGACGTTTCGCTACCTTCATCTTTTCTTTCTCAGCAGCTTCTAACTCTGCTATCTTCGTCATTGAATCTACACGTACTCTGGAGCCAAATACCTGTAAGTAAATGCAGACTTATTAGATAGTTTGAAAAATTCTCTACACCATACACAGAAAAAACGAACCTTGATTTTGTCAGTGTCCATAGACGTATTAGCGATAAGTATACGCGCGTCAGAAACCTTTTGCGGTTGGTGAACACCCGGTTTCTTATCCAATAAGAATCCATCGTCCAAAAAGGAGTCGGCAAGGGTTGCGCCACGTTTCTTAATAACTTGAATCGCAGACAAATTACCAGAGCCTTTAAGACGCAACACCGCGTCGACCGCGAGCTTGCTGAAGTGTTCTTTGTGCTGGGACAAGATCTTGGAACTCAACGTTGTACGCGCGATATTTAGCAAGTCCTCCCGAAAACGCTCGGGATCTGCAGAATTGTCCGTGGCTGCATTTATTAAAGCTTCAGTCGCTGCGTTCGTGGCAATTCTCCAACCACCAATGATAGTTTGCGGGTGAATCTTTTGATTCTCAATTAGCTTCTCCGCTTCTCGCAGAAGCTCGGCAGCTACAAAAGGATAAGAATGCCAATATTGAAAATTGAATGATTCGAAATAGCAACATTGTACGTACCGAGAACAGTGACCGAAGTAGTGCCGTCGCCCACTTCGTCGTCTTGAACGCGAGACATGTCTACCAAAATCTTGGCAGCGGGATTATCAATGCCAATGCTCTTGAGGATAGTAGCACCGTCGTTGGTTACATGTACCTGTCCCGAGGACCTGCCATGAGATACCAGTATCTTGTCCATGCCCTTAGGACCAAGGGTAGACTTCACCAAGTCCCCGATGGCGATAACTCCGACAAACAAGCTCAACCTAGCGATCTCGGCCTTCTCTTCCTCGGCCTGATTTTTCAGGATCCGCACTGGATTTAAGGAGACCTTGGAAAGTAAAACGAGCGAAATCGTAACCGCTTTTAAGAGACAAGAATGTACGAATACGTTGGAAGTTGGTCCAATGCGTCGTCTACAGTGCGTGGAGTAGGAGCAAGGAAATTAATCAATTTTACGCGTTACTCCTACTTGAGCTCTTACGCTTACTCTCGGCGAGTCAGGACGCCATCGGCCAGTGTTGAAATATTTAAAAAAATCAAGCCTGTGTTTCAGCTTCCTTACACCAAAGGCCTAAGGTTATGGTTCTCTCTTAATCTCTCTTAATCTTTACGCCAGGCTTACTCCACGCATTGTAGACGACGCAGAAAAGCCGAGCGAAAAACTTGGTTCCTGTGGAATATGTATCAAAGCTAATTGTCGTGCAATAATTTATTCTTTCGTTATTTCAGTGACACGTGAGCCATTTGTCACGCTTCCGGAAGGCCGGGTTCGGCGATCGAGGCAAATGCGAGCATTTGCTGCAACTGCAACAGATGATGGCAATTACCATTGTGAGTCGACGCGGACACTTTTTCTTCGGGAAATCACGCAAGTTTCACAAACGAAAACCCTCGATGCACGGCTGACGGCGAACCAGTTGACGATTCAGGCAGCTACCGCAGTACCGCCATGGCGCCATGCTGCGTGACCTGCGAGCCATCTTCATGGAGCGATTTTCATTGCTATGTCTATGATTCGCCGCTTTTGGACGTCGACATGGAGGAACGAATTATAAGCTCCGATTGAGAAGACCATGGCGCGAATGAACCAATCGGAAGGAGCCCGGAATGTGGATACGTTTCATGCGAGCTTGGCTTTAGCGTCGCGTCATGTTCTGGATTTCATTCCTTTTAAGGGCCGATTGACGCACGATTTAACAATAATATATTAAACATAATTGCATACGAAAATGATACATGTATAAGTTACAAGGAAAAAGGTTTAGCCAAATTTCATAAGATTTAACGACCTACATTGGCCAATGTTTTTATTCAAAGACCGATTATAACGTTTCAAGTGATCTGAATAAAAATTACTGCGTCGTTAGTCAATCGTTTGGCCAATGCCATTGCACAGTGATGAAATAAATTTACAATTCTTTGTTAGAAGAAAAGCAAGATCGATTGAGAAGCAATTCGATGTCCGCGAAATCATGTCGGTGATTAAAATTGATTTAACCGTCAGGAACCGGACTTGTACTGACAAGAGGTCACGTTGAACGTTTAGAAAAAGGGTTTAGAAAAATTAAAAATGAATCATTTATATACACGTATAATCATTTAACTTATTATATACATAATTTATTATCAGTTACATGAAGTATTTGTGTAACGTGTATTTTACCTGTCGCGACGGTTATGTATTTTTCAATATCCTCTGCAGGATATATTATATCACACTCATTATTTCCAATACCGCCGCATCGAATGATCTGAAACAATCCGATAAAAATAATAGTGCTGTCACTTGCAATATACAGGGCGATCATTTTAGGATTGTGTTGAAAGTAAATTCTAGTGGTCACCCAGTACGTATACAAGTAGAGATCAATGCACATACTTGGACTTAATCTCATCGCCTGGAATGTAAAATGGATTGCAAACAGCATTGGAATATGCAGCATGTAACTTCTTGAAGATCTATCAACCAATTAGAGATTTGCGCGACATTAGAAATGGCCAATTAACATTAGAATTATATATAAAGTCTGAAAACGTTACCATTTTTATTTCGTTGTCCCTTAATGATACATTGGACGATTGCAGTACTATGACAAATTTAATCTTTGTGTTTGTGGTATAGCCATATCTGGAAACAGGAATATCGCAACGTATTTAGGTCCAGTTTCACAAGCGTCGGTTAACTGTTAACCAGAGTTCAGTCGACTTCCTATCTTTCTCTATCTTGTTATCCAAGAAGGGACAGAGGATCAATTAACCATGGGTTAGCGGTTAAACGACGTTTGTGAAACTGGGCCTTAGATGCACAATTTGTATCTACCGTAGAGCCAGCACCCCTGGTGAACATATTTTACTAAATGTATCGTGAAAACGACG